TTTTTTTTTTTTTTTTTTTTTAAATGTACCAAGAATAACTAAGGACTGTGATAACCATTTAAACTGTGGTGACTTAGATGTATCAGAGTTCAAGAACTACAAGGTCCCCTAATTGGGAAGTTGAAAGTAGCATTTGTCAAAAAGCTTTGATGCATTTTTATAATGTTTTGCAGGTGTTATATTTAAAATTTGGATTAATTAAGCAAGCTGTATTTTTGAAAGTCTTCCTAACTAGTCTGCCTTTTCCTTTTTATAGTATCTCTAGTTGTTACTGGGGGGGTTTATTTTAAGGGATGGAAGCTTGCTGAGAGAGTAGGAAGATGTAGGCATTTTATGGTAGTTGGCTTTTTATTTGAGTAGTAGTATTTTGATGTTTGGCTCAGATGTTTGTTGTTTGGCTCAGTTGTTTTACAGTGAAATTGTTTAAAATAATAATATAGCATGTTAAAGTTTGCGAAGTCTTCTGTCCTCATCATATTTGTACTATGATAGGTTTGATTTCACATAGATTCATTCTCAAATTTTAAAATTGTTGTGATTTTTTTGTATTGATATGGAATAAAGTTTTGGAAGTTATCTATAAGAGCACAAGCCACACTTGCCTTCTGACCTCTTAGCACCCTAGTCTGTCATTCAAACAGAATGTGGACATTGTGTTCTGTTGCTTTTAAGGATCTGTCGCATATCTCCTACCTTTCCTGTGGGTAGAATAACACTGGGGTTTCAAACATACAGTTTGTGGGCCACATTCAGCCCACAAGGCCCTGTTATCCAGCCTCTGGTGCTGCTCCCAGATCCTGCCACCCTGGACAAGCTACTAGATGCTATGCATGCAATGCAGTCCAACTAGGTAGAGGAGGGAGCACCATTCTACATGTGACAACTGTTCTGGGATCAGTGCTGCACGTGGTGCCTGCTCCAGCCACTCTGGAACATGCGCAGATACAGCACAGATGCTGGAAGCAGGGGTGGGAAACGTGGGTCCCTGGGTCTGATCCAGCTTGTGGACCAGCTCCACATCACTTGTCCAGCCCACAGGGTTTGATTCGTAGATTGCAAGGGGCTGGAAGGGACCTCAAAAGTTCATCGGGTTCAGCTCCCCTGCACTAGGCAGGTGATCGTCTAGTCTCTTCTTAAAGATTTCCAGGCTAGGTGATTGTACACCTCTGGAGGGAGCTTATTCCACAGTCTGAACACCCTGACTGTAAAGAAGTTTTTCTTAGTGTTAAGCTTGAAATAGTCTTCCAGGAGTTTGTGGCCATTACTCCTGATTTTCCCCAAGGGTGCCCTGATGAACAGTTGCTTGCCAAGCTGTTGATGTATTCCCTTGAGATAGCGGTAAGCTGCTACCAGGTCCCTGCCCAGTCTTCTGATTTTTTTTTTTTAGGCTGAAGAGGCCCAAGTCCCTCAGCCTTTCCTCGTATGGCTTGCCATGCAAGTCTCTGATCAAACAGGTGGCTGGACTCTCAAGGTTTTCCACCTTTAATGAATTTGGTGTTCAGAGAATAGTGAATTAGTGCTCTTTTTTCTCTCTCTCCAGTTCTTGCATTGTGAATTGTTCTCTTAATGTGAATTGTAAAGAAATTACTCTAGTAGAAGCGTGCGTGTGAAAATCTAGGAATGTCTTAACTTTCGAAATTGTAATCCAGTATCTTATTTTTTTGAAAACTTACCAGTTTTGAAGAAGGATAAATAAATACAAAAATAATACATTTTATGAAAGTATGGAATACAATTCTAGTGAAAACAATCCAGAGAAACTCAAGACTAACTGAAGTGTAATTTGAGCCTTTATGTAGAAAAGGTACATTTTTAAAAAATAACGGTTCTTGAAGGAGTAGTCATGAAAAAGTTTGCATTACCACTGAGCATGTTTCTATTTTGTGGACTAAGTATTGGAATTTAGTTGTAAAACAGAACCTTGAACTTGGAATTAACCTGAAGTGATGAAAGCTGCCTGAGCCCTCTTGAAAATTTGATCAATTTTCTTGTGTTATCTGTTTCTGTTTATAGTGATATTTTTTTGTGGGTTTTTTTGTTTTTTTGTTTTTGTTTTTTTTAGGAGATGGAAACTGCAGTGATACAAGAGGACTAGAAATAGCTGTAAAACAACGTGTTGATGATGCACTCACTTCCAAACTTCCCATGTTTTATTTGGTCAACAGACCTCATATTAGTTTGGTTACTGCTACGCACCCAGTTGAGGTAGATGTGGAAAACAGGTGTCTCAGTGTGAACTGGTCACAAGGGGACACTTCATTGGAAGTTGTGGATGGTTTAAGTGGAAAGATCACTGAAAGGTTAGAATTCTTACATTATAATAAAAATAGTGATGAGCCTGATCACTGTGTGTGGGTGTGTACGCACATACATCTGCTTAAGTGCAAAGTTTCTCAAAAGGTTCTGTTTTTAAGCCATGGTATTTTAGTGTAAATGTGAGGTGTTCCTTCCTCGACTAATTGAATACACTCTCCAATTAGAGACAGTTTTTGACATCTTATTTCAATATATCACTGAAATGATAAGTTTAAATTATTTTTCTTTATCAAAATTAAAATGTTATTCTCCCACCACTTGTACTCTTTGAAGAAAACAGTCTTAACAGTGGAAATATTTAACTGCTTCAACTGCTACTTTTCTGGTGTTGGTAAATTGCTAGTTAAAAAGATTCAGCCATCGTTTTACTAGCTGTAATTGTGAGGTATTTACTTTTTTTTATTGCTTTTTCCCCTGAATTAAATGGATGGAATTTCATACTACTAAGGTTAACAATTTTATTTGAAAAAGATTGTTTTAAATTTAGGGTTTGAAGCATGTAGAATCTCTAATCTGTTTCATTGCTCATTGTAGTTCGCCATTCAAAAGTGGTGCTTCAATGGCAAGTCGTCTTTGCAAGGCTGCAATGTTAAGTCGTTTTCATCTGCTCTCTAAGGAAGCAAAACGAGATGATTTGCTTGAAATTTGTACATATCATGAAGCAAAGGTAAGGGTAGCTAAAGGAAAAGCTCTAATAAATGTCCTTTTAATGATTGCTTTCAAAATGTAAGACAGTAACTAGTTCTAGTGTGCTGAAGATTTTACATGAATGGCTGGTAGCAGTTTTAACTTTGTCTCGAATACTTTCAAAGTTGCTGCTTGCAAGAGAAACTCATAAATTGTTCATAATGCTGAAATTCTACTAATTTATTAAATTATTTTGACAAAATTTTAATTTTTGAATTTTTGTTTGTGGTGAAAAATCCATTGACAAAAAAATTGTTTGGAAGTTACAAATTAAAAAGTGTCCTGAATTGGATTGCAACTTTCATGATTGGTGTTCATTTGTGGAGACTGACAGCCATTTTCTTAAAATGCCTAATTTTCTAATGTTCTTAGAAAGTTTTGTTCAATTCTGTTACCATTTATTCTATATAACTTCAGGCACCATTCTTCCTTGAAGTCTTGTGGAAAAGGACATCAACAAATTTGTCGGGGGGCCAGGAACAATGCATCAAAATATTGCGTTTGGAATCAAGTTTTTTGTTCTTCTTTTCCTAGTGTACTAATTTTTTTGGTGCTTGATTAACTTACCCTGTATTTAGATTTAAATGCATTTACAGAAAATGAGTAATGAAAACCATGCATTATCCAAAGTTTCATTTCCCCAGACTTTGTTTTTCCATTTGCGTTATATCCAGTCTCCTAGAAGAGCACTGCAATTTTTTTAACCATCTCTCCAGTAAGCCCGTAGCACTTTTGCTCTCTAGTAGTGAATGGTGGCATCTCAAGTTTTGTCTAAATTATAACTTCTTGTGATGGGTATTTTGGGATACTGTAGTGGTACCTTATGTTAATACTTAACAGTAGCAAAACCTTGTGGCACTCTGTAACGTTACTCTAACAATCCTTTAATTTCTACTTTTGTTCAGATTAAGTCTGCCTCCTACCAAGAAGCTAAAAATTTGCTGAAAAGCTACTTGGAGCAGCATGGTTATGGATCCTGGATTGTGAAATCTCCACGCATTGAACAGTTCACCATGTGACTTAAGTTGAATATATTGTGTTTTATTATTACTTTAATAAAATTTAATTTTTGATGAGTAAAATATTCAGGCATTGGTAACTTTAATCTTTTCAGTCGGTGCCACTGTCAGCAATAACAAACAAATTGAATTTAACAATTTAAGTAACAACAAATTAAATTTGTCAGTTTAAGCACAGAAGTTAAACTGCCTTTTGTAACAATTCAGTCAGAATTCAAAATGCCAGTCTCTTTTCCTAAGAGTCATTGTTAACATCTTAGTAATCTTATCAGTCCTATTTGTAGAATAAATATTTTTTCTCACAAACTGTAGTTTCATAATGGAGAATATAGGTTTGTGTGTTCTGTTATCTTCTGAAACCAGAGTAAAAGACTACTTATAATGGGACACAGTAATGTTGTGTGATTCATGCTTGTTTTTTACCCAAAATTACATGTAGATCTTCATGTGCTGAGGTTTGTTTTTTTTAATGGTCCTTTTGTATCCCTTTTTTTTACTGTTGTATATGGTAATCTTGACACTTACTGCTTGTCCTGTTTCAGACCAGTAGTAAAGCTCGCATATAGCTTGGTAAATGGAAACCGTAAAATAAGTCTGGACATGACTCAGAATTCCACTAGCTCTTTACTTATACATCTGGATACAGTTGTTGTAATTTTGTAAATTGTTCTAGTCTTTGTCTTTCTCAAGACTTGAAAGTTATATGTATTTTTATATAGTATGGGGGGGAAGAGGGTCTAGGAATTGGTAGGGATTCCTCCAGCTTGTTTTTTGTAGGCTACCAAAGAGGACATTAGGTGGCTATGAAGTGGACTAAATCAAAATAGTGACTGAAAGTGTGAAAGTTGCTTTGTTCCATTATGAGTTGAATAATTGATCTGTTTTTCCCAAATCTTTGTCCTTGTATAAAATATCACGCAAAACATTACTGTTTTTTCCCTTATGTTACAATATGAATATTTAAGTTATTTTCAGGTTGTATTTTTTTTCTGGTGTTCATATAGTGTTGCTGTAATTACACTGAATGTTATATCGTAGTTGTCTTTCATATTACTTGATTCTGCATTTCAGAGAGAGAGAATTAGATTTTTTTTTTTTTTTTTTTTTTAGCTATACCTATGAGAAGTTAAGTTTTTTGGGGGGGGGCATTCTTCCTCAAGTGTTAGTGCAGTATTGTAATTGCATCTGTTTTTTTGGTGAGGGAGGGCTAACTTAGAACAAAAAGCTATCACCAGTGCTTTTTGTCATAACCACTTGTTTGTAGTGCATGTTATACCACTAACTGCTTGTACATAAGTGACTAAATGTAACATAAGAATGGAACAGACCTTCAATAAAACTAAACTTGTCAGGTGCTTTTATCTGACACAACTTTTAATATATGGAAGAGTGGTCTAATTAGGACCTTTCTTTTTCAACATATTTCTGTATTGAATGGAAACTTGTTGGCCTCACTACTTAGTTTTTGAAAAGGATACTGCTGTCCCAGTGAGTTTATAGACGGTCACCAGGTCCCCCCTCAGCCTTCTCTTGTGAAGGCTGAACAGGTTCAGGTCCCGCAGTCTCTCATTGTAGGGTCTGCCCTGTTGTCACTGGAACATGTGGGTGGCCCTCCTCTGGACCCTCTCCATGTTGTCCATATCCCTCCTGAAGTGGGGCGCACAGAACTGGACACAGTACTCCAGCTGTGGCCTGACCAGTGTCGCATAGAGGGGGAGGATCACCTCCTTGGCCCTACTTGAGATGCACCTGTGGATGCACGACAAGGTCCAGTTAGCCCTGCCAACCGTGACCTCGCATTGTTGGCCCATGTTCATCTTGTAGTCGATGATGACTCCCAAGATCCCTTTCTGTCTCCATGCTCTCAAGAAGGAAGTTTCCCATCTTATAAGTGCTGCTGGTTACTACTGCCCAACTGCAGCACCCTGCATTTGTCAGTATTGAGACACATCCTGTTTTTGTTAGTCTACCCCTGTAACCTATCCAGGTCTTGCTGCAGTTTTTTCTTCCCTGCTAACATGCTCACCTCACCCCAAATTTTGGTATCATCAGCAAATTTAAACAGG